ATGTAAGGAAAGAAATATTTTAATTTAAAACAGATTTATAACAATTTTTAAGGCTAAAATAAGATCTACCTCTCAATCAGAGGAATATTTCATGTCATATACAGTTAATTTTTTCAAGTGTTGTATAGATTGCAGTTGTCAGATATTCACCTCAAAATCTGAGCAAGTTACTAATGAAAGAAATGCCTTGTGTAGGTTCATAGAAAATAGCAAATAAGTAGTTTGAGTCTGTTCCACTGGATGTATGTTCCAGTAGAGCAAGGGTTTTTGTCTGTTTTGTTCATTACTCAATCCCCAGTGCTGAACAATGATGACACACAGTAGGTGCTCAATAAATATTGAATGAAGAAGTCCCCTTATCATAATTACTGTCTCAGTGGATAGAGCGTCAGCCTGCAGACTGAAAGGTCCCTGATTCGATTCTGGTCAAGGGCACATGCCCAGGTTTCAGGCTCAATCCCGAGTAGGGGGCATGCAGGAGGCAGCCGATCAATGATTCTCTGTCATCATTGATGGTTCTATCTCTCTCTCCCTCTCCCTTCTTCTCTGAATCAATAAAAAACCAACAAAAAATAAATAAAAAGAAGATACATCTATATATATAAAAGCCTAAGTAACCTCTATGACCGAGCGACTGGAACAACCCATAGACCAGTTGCTATGATGCACACTGACCACCACGGGCAGACGCTCAATGCAGGAGTTGCCCCCTGGTGGTCAGTGCGCTCCCACAGCCAACCTTCCCCGGTCCCTCGCCCCGGCTGGCAAAACTCCCGTGGTCCCTCCCCCATCCCTTCTCCCATCCAGTAGACCCCGGCCCAGCTGGTGGCCGGCAAGCCCTGGCTGGCCTGGCCCTAATCAGGACAGGGTGAGACCGCCCTAATAGGCCCTGATTGCTGGCCAGGCCTAGGGACCCCACCTGTGCATGAATTTCATGCACTGGGCCTCTAGTATACTTATAAATTGTTATAAGACATAAAGAATTATAGTACATTGGCATCTGTACACATGATTAAATTTTAGAAAAAGTATTACCTTCGAAAACCTTATGTGCCCTTGTCCAACCCTATCTCTTCATTCCTCCCTCAGAGGTAGCAATCACTATCCTGAATTTTATTTTTTTCTTTCTTTCTTTCTCTCTTTCTTCTTTCTTTCTTTCTTTCTTTCTTTCTTTCTTTCTTTCTTTCTTTCTTT